GCGCGCCAAACTAGTGGCATGTGCGGACGACGTAGCCGTATAATCGTTGCGAAACATGTAGACGAAATACGTCATATTTTCGACATTATCTTCGAGAAAGTAAATCGGTGGATGGATACTGTTAGTCTTCAACTAGCTAAACAAAAGACGGAAGCAGTACTCATCACCAGCGGAAAAACCACAAAGACCATTAAACTGAAAGTCGGTGAACAAGAGATTATATCACAACTTTACATCCAATACTTGGAGTGATGCTTGACGCCCGACTAAATTTTAGCAGCATGCAAAACAGCAAGTGACAAGGCATCAGTAGTGAGTTCTTGTCTTGCACCATTGATGCCTACATTGGCGAACCAAAGCAGAGCAGAAGACTCACACTTTCATCAGTAGTTGCGTCAGTGCTCACTTATGGAATACCTATATGGGAAGACGCACTAGAGCTACAAGAATCATGGAGAAAAGTGGGTCCGCTTGAGTGCTTTACGAGTAGTATGCGGCTTCCGCACAAAATCTGAGGAAGCGGTATGTGTCATTGCCGGGACTCTGCCTCTTAGAGTCTTAGCTAAGGAAAACTTTACCAACGCAAGAGGTCAACGACACTAAGCGCTGATGATCTCAGAACCGAAGAACGTCGAAATAGCATAAGTCGATGGCAACTACAGTGGGACGCCGCAGAAAAAGGTAGATGGACGCACCGTCTTATACCTAAGTTCAACGTTTGGCGAACCGGAGACATGGAGAGGTCAATTATTATCTAACGCAGATGCTGTCTGGACACGATTGCTTCGGGCTTATCTTCACCGATTTAAGCACGATGATTCTCCTGAATGTCCAGCTTGCCAGGGATTTAATGAAGATGCGGAGCATGTTTTCTTTGTGTGTCCCGCGCTTCAGTTTGTGTGTCCGCACAGCGGAATAAAACTGGAAATTCTTAAAGCAAATGATTCAACTAGAAACAATAATTGAATCAATGCTTTCATCAAGATGCTTGGAACGCTATTAGTTCGTATGTTACAGAAGTCATCAAACACTACGTTTCATTGAGAGAAAAAGAGCGAATGAAAGATGTATGACATCTTAGCCACAATAAGAAAAAGCAGTCGCTAGATCCTTCCCCCCGAAGTAATGCCTAACGGCGGTTTCCGTGGGAGTTACAAGGCCTAGGAAAAGCGGAGGTTTTAGTCGGTATTAACATTGTTAAGTCCGACATATCCAGACAATTCCCGTCTGTTCCGTACACTATCCTTCACTATACAAAAAAAAAAACATAAGTAACAAGAACTGCTTTGTTCACAATTGAATTTAAATAGATAAACATGATCGGAAAATCTTCTAAGGTCTACATTTTTTCTTTATATAAAATTATAGGATGGTCAGTATTAAAAGAGTGTTTGAAATTAATAATGTGCTCAGAAAACATTGTTTTAAATTGTCTAGGGTTTTTTTAATTATAAATTGTTGATTCATTCTTTTGCTAATGTATTGGGACTTTCACGCGATGTAACAACTGTCACAATCTAAACAATTAATTTATAAACGGCATCGGTGATTCTGTCAGACGGAGATTTTGATTTTAAAGTAGAAAACAGAGAACTGAGTGTGTTATCAAAAGTAAAAACTAAAGCACACCTTCAACAGAAAAAAGTTTTTTTAAAAAATAAGAAAAGCTACCCAAATAAGGTAAACAAATAATGCCTTTATATTGCTAAATAAAGAAGAAGAATTTGAATCAGGGTAAAATTTTTTGAACAACGGATGTGACATTATTATTATCAATATTGGTAACGTTTAATATTTTAACCTATTCATAATTATATTATTGATTAAATGTAAAGGATAAGAGTTATTTGTGAGAATGGAGCGGACTAAATCCAAGTTTTTATTCCAAAAAGTTTTATTGCTTAAAAGAATAGCTCTATCAATGAGAGAAATGATGATGGAAATTTTCACAGAACGAAAATGAAACGATAAGTAATTAATGTATCTACCAGAGAAGTTGGTTTCTGAAACCAATCAGTTAAAATATAATTGTTTTGGTTTCTAATAATTTAATGTCTAAAAAACTAATGGAATTGTCATCTTCAAACTCACAAGTAAACTTTAAATGATTGTTAAAAGAATTAAAGGAATCAAGAGTGGAAGAGATGAATTATTTTCTAAACACAAGAGAACGTCATCAACATATCTAAAGTAAAAGAAAGGTTGAACAGGAAGTTTGGGTAGAACAAAATTTTCAAGTAACTGTAAAGTTAAATCTGCCAAAGGAGACTAATACTAGAACCGTAGGCATACCAAAAATCTGAGCAAAAAATTTATTGTCAAACAAAAATATGTATTATGAATATGAAATTTAATATGTATTTAAACCAAAATAAATTAATGTTGTATGTGGTTTGAAGTCATTCCAACGATCCGAAATGGCATCCAACGCAAGATCCCATGGAACGTAGTGATGACAAGAAACGACATCAAAGCTAACCAAAGAAAAGTCAGGCGTATACTTAAGTTGCTGAGAAATTTTGCTAAGATGAAAAAATTTGAGACATTAGATTTTGATAAATGGTGACCTTAGAGAGGATAGTACTTAAATATTTAGTTAAATTACTTAACGGTAGTTTATGTCGGCAACTAGAGTCGGAAGGCAATATAATTTAGGAAAGTCTGGATGAAAACCTTAAGAAAAAAACCTAAAGATTTGGATATTTGTTTTTTTTTTTAAATTAAATTTGTGATAAGTTTATGAGTTTTTCTGTTTATGTAATCGGTAGGGACATTAGTTAAAGGTTGGTATGTAAGTGTGTCATTTAAAAGCGCTTCGGTTTTTGAGAGATAATCAGACTTATTCATAATCACAGTAAGGTTTCCTATCAGCTCTGGTAACTATAATGTCAGGATTTTCTTTCAAGAACTTTTTGCATAATTTTAAATCTCTGGCAATTTCTAACTGTAAGGGATTGGAATTAGTATTTAAATTTTTTTTTTAATAAAATAAAAAATTATTGCAACAAGTTAATCTTAATTTTGATTCCCTTTCTGGATCTTTTAATTTACAAATACCCAACTCTAGATTGCTAAGGATCTTTATGAAATTGAAATGTTTTTTGGAATGGGGGAGAGAGAATTTTGGACTGAGGGCAAAAATAAATTTGTATAAAACCGGACAAAATTTGATATAAAGAATCAAACAACACGACAATAATTCGAAAAACCCTACCAAAACCAAACTATGATAACAGACCACATCAAAAATTTCAAACACTCTTTTAACTTTTATAATGCCCGTATCTCTCTACCACGAACGGAACACCATTCAAAGACGTTTTTCAGAATCTTGTTTCATAGCATTAAGTAAACAGGCTAAAACAAAAGATGTGATACCTCCTTACTCTGCGAAAACTACCAAGTAATACTAAATAATGTTTCAAATTTATCTCCTCGAACATAACTAATTCTGACCATATAAACCTTGCCAACACTACTAGTTCAACCTCGGCCATGAAACACGATCTTTACCTACCCACGCATAGTAAATTTTGAATGACCCTTTAAAAATCTTCATTTTAGATTTTTGAGCTATTAATACAACTACTTAATAATACTAAATAATGTTTCCAAATTTTTCTCCCCTTGAACAAAAACTAATTCGGACCATACAAACCTAGCCTAACATTACCAGTTCAACTTCGACCTTCGATACCTAAAAAATATGTTTATTGTAATTTTTAAAAATTGTAATTTCAAGAAGTGGTAAAGATAATTCTGCTAGAGATGAACTTGCTGTCTATCGGACAAAACATTTTAGGACAACAATATCAATATAATTACGAAAATTCTAACAGATAACTCCTATCCCTTAAAACTTATAAACTCCGTAACCAGTAACAGACGATCATACCTTTTGAATAAAATGAACAATTCCACAGTACAAAACGATTTACCTGACTCAGAAACTCTCTCTGGTGTAATATGTTTGCCATACATTAAAGAATTGTATGTTTTTAAAAAACTTTTAAAACTTTTTTATAAGTCTGGACTCCGACTTGAAAACAATTTTAGTACAACGACTAGTACTATTTTTACCAAAACAAAAACCCCTTTTAATATCGAACGACTTAGAAATCTCGTCTATCAAATTGATTGTCTAGATTGTAATATAATTTACATAGGAGAAACTAGCCAGAACTTAATGAAACGTTTACAACAACATAAAAATAATTCAAAAAATCCGAAGCAATTTAAAACTATGATAGCAGAGCATTTTTATAATTTAAAACACAATATGGACTTTTCTAACCCGACTGTACTACAATTCGAACAAAATTTATTCAAATGAAGAATTATAGGAGGATCTTTTTTAACTATTCACAGCAATAAAACAATAAATAAACGGAACAAACTTAACACGCTGTTCGACACAAACCTCTATTATTTAGATAGTATTTCCAAATCTCTCACAAAACAATAAAAAAGACGCGTAGAATCTTGGTAAAAAATATTTTTTAAAATGTCCTTTCTCGATTATATCTTCAACCAGTCTACGAACAACACACTATCCAATTGTGATTTTTTTAAATTAGTATTTTGTGAAAATATTGTGTAATTACAAGTTTAATGTTTATAATACATAGTGTAGTGCATTACCATATCTTGATACCATGGATTATTAAAATTTTCCAATTTAACACTAAGATTAACTAATTGTAAGTACTATATACTATTTTATTTTTTCTTTTCACTCCAATTCAATTGTTTTTAGTTTTTAACTTCCCGTAGGGTAAGTTATTGTAATGGGCCGAAAATCGGAATTGAAAATTTTTACATTTCTCGACGTTTTGAAGGTTTCTGAACGTTTTGGCATACCTCAGAAAAAAATGATGTGTGTGTGTGTGTATGTGCGTGTATGCATGTATGGATACAAATTTCCAGTCACGTTTTAGGGCGCACGGATCAACCGATTTGAATGGTTCAAAAAACATTCGATTCCTATTGATAGGGAAAAGAGCTGATTAGTTTTTGGCAAAGGCAGGTCCAGCCGTTTCGGAGATACGGAGCAAAGAGTGCAGAAAATAGAAATCGAATTTTTGAGAGAACGGAGTACCTATCCGATTTGAATGATCTAAAAAACATTCAATTAGTAATGATTGGGAGAAGTGTTTATTAGTTTTTGGCAAAGGTAGGCCCAGCCATTTTGAAGATACGGAGCTAAATATGTAAAAAATGGCAGTTTTTGAGAGAACTAAGCGTCCGATTTAAATGATTCAAAGAACTTTCTGCTTGTCTTAACAAAATAATTGATTTTGAAAAAAAAATTGTCACATTTTTTTTAAATTTTTTTTTAGTTTTTTGTATATTAAAAATATTTCAGATTTTATTTTTAATTCTGACTATAGTTCTAATATACTTTACAAATAATTTCAACTCTGCAATTCAGTTTATATAATTCTTATAAATATTAGACAATGTTACAATATTTATAATAATCTATTTGAAAACATTCAGTATTCCTCGAACATTTCGTTACGGTACGGGAAGTTCCAGCAATTTGCCTTAAGGCACGAAGCCATAATAGCCTCATGATAGAATTCCACTTACAGCTAGTTAATTTTATTTTTAGTTTCCACTGAATGAAGGCTAGAATTATAACCGAAACGTATGGATTTAAAATAAATTTTTGAAAGAAATTCATGTTTTTTATTGATGTTATGACCGATTATTAGACTTTGTTAATATATATATATATATATATATATATATATATATATATATATATATATATATATATATTAGGGTGGTCCTTAAAATGGTCATATTCGAATTCCCTTGCTCCCATGGGCTCAAATGGTTCCAAATTGATAAAAAACAATTCTCTGAAAATTTTAGCTCTTAATATTAACGTTTAGATAGAGCGCAATTCAATCAAAGTTTTGTATGGAAATAGCATGGAAAAATTTTCAAAAATTTTAAAAATGTTTTTTAGATGTAATTTAGCGAACAAATGAATGAATAAAACTCATTCATTTGTCGCTAAGTTATACCTAAAACATTTTTTTTAAATTTTCAAAATTAATTTTTTCTTTGATGTATTGCCCTACAAGTATTTACTCATGTATCTTATATATAAAAATGGAGCTCTCGATCAAATGATTCGGTAAAACTCAAAAACGGCTAAACCGATTTGGCCAGTCTTAGTGTTGAAAAACTCGTGCCAATCCAGAGATGGTCGGAAAGGTGAGATATTATTTCAAAATCGCGTAGAAACTTAAGTTTAATGTAAATTTACATTTTTAATTTGAAAATTTTTGTAGAAGCGTAATTTAAATAAAACAATGGACGGTGGCTAACACGCGAAATGTCAAACGTTTTTGACAGATGATGCTCAATTACATTTAATATAATGTTTTACGTGAATATTATTTAACTAGTTGGTTTGGTATTTAGCCTTGAGGCAAGTTACATAAACTTCCCGATATATTTAAACAATCGACTTAATCAATAAAAAATAAATTAATTTATGAGTCATTAAAAGTATTCCGAGTGGATTTATTACACATAATTGAAAACGAACGAACACTTTGACTCGGTGTATTTTCTAAAAGCAAATTTTCAAAAATCAATAACTTTTATAATTGAACCAGTTTTCAGGACTTTAATGGTTTATTATGTTCAAGACTAAGTACTCTATCATTATACCAAGTAAATAGTCTAATTTTAATTTTAACAAATGTCAAAAGAGCTACTCATTTTCTCAAACCTTGATGAATTTTTAAAATCAAACTATTTGTCGTAAGGCCGTAATATTTCAGTAAGTTCTATAAGACCATGGTATATATCGCTAAAAAAAAAACCATAAAAATCGGCTTAATTTTTTTTTTCAACAGTTAATTACAAGAAAACGGCTCAGTAGATTTTCACCTAAAACTGATCAATATCATTCCCCACTAATATCTTTCGAACAGTTTTTGATTTTTTAAAATCGGTTCGGTAGGATGAGCTTAAATGTGGACGAAAAGTTTATTACTTTTTTTCAAATTACAAAGAAGCGGCTTGGCAGATCGTCGCACAAAACTGACAAACGATAGTCCTCACCGAAATACATCAAATGGCTTTTAAATTTCTGAAATCGGTTCAGGCGCTTTTGAGAAAACGTCGATCAAAAGTCTAATTTTGACAAATGTCAAAAAAACTATACCAATTTTTGCAAACTTTGACGAATTTTTAAAGGTAAACGAGTTGACGTAGGGCCGTAATATTTTAGTATGACCTAGAAAACTATGGTATCTACCGTCAAAAAAAAAATCATAAAAATCGTCGAATTTTTTTTTAAAAAAACGTTATTACAAGAAAACGGCCCGGCCGATCTTTACCAAAAACTAATCAGCACGATTCCCAACCAATATCTATCGAATGGTTTTTGAATTTTCAGAATCGATTCAGAATTGCGGGCTAAAACGTGGACGAAAATTTTTTCACTTTTCTGCAATTTACAAAGAAACGGCCCGGCCGATCGCGGCACAAAACTTAGAGACGATAATCCTCATCGAGATACATCAAATGGCTTTTAAATTTTTGAAATCGGTCCAGCCGTTTTTGGAGAAAACGATTTACGGCAAAAAATCTGTTCACACACACACACACACACACATACTTTTTCCAAATTTGGTCTCATTCGATTCAGAATGGCTCGAAACGTCGAGAAAACATAAAATTAGCGAATCGGATTTTTTGATGAAAACATAAACTTCTCCTTCGGGAAGTTAATAATGATTAAATTGTAGTAAGTAGTTTTGTTTGTAACTTTATTTATATACAAACACGTTAGTAAACGGACCGCAAATGTTACTAGAGACTCAAAATATCAACTTTTTTGAAACGTTAATATGAAAATGCACTTTTTCTCATATTTTTCTCAAACACAGTGCTCTGAAAGATCTCATTGGTATTTATAAAACATTTTCTAGGTTATATTATTTATTATTTATGTTATTTAAATTCAGAACCTAAATTTGGTATCGATCAAATAGATATTTTGTCGAATAACCCAGTTATAATTTCCCAGAATTTATCGAAGAATAAATAGTAATATGTGAAGGTCCGGAATAAAAAGGTCCACCACCGATGTAAAGCAGTAAAATTAAGCATTGTTTAACAACAATATTTGAAAGTAGAGGAAAAAAGATGTATAATCAGCTATAACCTTGATTTAAAAACTGTAATCTTTGAAATGAGTGAGATAAATGGTAATCTTTGAAAAACCATAATCAAAGTATTTTCTTCCGTTCGTAGTATTTCGGAATTAGTTAGAAATGTAATTATTTTGTAAAATACCTTTAAAATTATAATAAGGCTTTAAATCTTTTTGCCACCTGCCCGTTTCAAGTTATACCGCCTACAGGGTAAAAAGGTCTAAATAACAAATTTTTGAAAGACATCAAAAAGCACATTTCTACAATGGTGAAGTAGAAGGCAGTTCGTTTGATATGTGTTATTTGTTGTGATATAATTTTTATTGTTTTCACAATATAGTTTATATTTGCTCAAAGTCAAATTGGACCTTTGTGCCTCGCCCTGCTCTACATATATACCTTTTATTGAATTTACTTTAATTCATCGAATGTTACTTGAAACTTTTCAAAAAGCAGGTCAAAGAAAAAATACTTAATTCATTTTCTATTTCTCCTCGCAAAAATTTGAAAATTTTGTATAAGTTCAGAAGTATTATTTACAATTATACACAAAATCCAGAATCCGATAAGAATCTGAAAACCTTGAAACGTAATCAATAAGTCGAAAGACCAAAAAAGACTTGGATGGATTATACTATGTTTACTACAGAAAATGTATAAATCTTCCAGTTTGATTATATTGATAAAATATAGACAAACTAATGGGGTTTAATGTTTTTATAATACCTCATTGTATATACATAGCATTCAAACAACACATCCTTATACACTTAAAGTATTAATATTTTTGATTCTCAAGAAATTGTTTAGAATATACCATACTTAGCAAAACAACGTTTGCCGGGTCAGCTAGTATATATATATATATATATATATATATATATATATTTATGATTAATTTCTTGGAGGGCGCAACATCAAATAAAAAATATAAATAAGGTAAAGATTTTTTAAAACATCTTTATTTTTCCATACGTTTTGACGTAAAATTCTACGTCATCGTCAGTGGTTCTACAATTTTGAAAAAAAAAAAAACAGAAAGTAACGTTTAAAACTAAATATACATAAGCAAAAATAAAAAGAAAAAGATTTAACTGAAGAGACAGACTAATTATATCTAAACCTTAAATTAAAATAATGCATAAAACATTACTTACTTGAAATTCTTAGATTATTATCATACATATACAGCTTGTAAAAAATTAATAATTGGAAACAAGCACCAAATGACAGTAATTTCTTTTTTTATAAAGACATTTTGGTGCTTGTTCAATATAAATTTATTCATGATCTCTTATACCAGGCACCTCTGCCTGACTGAGATATGTAAATATATATTATATTATGCTAATAAGAAAATGCTGAAGCAAAAAGAAAAAATATGCAATTGATAAAAATATAAATTTAGTATTCATTATTTCAATATTAAATTTTTTACTTACAATTGGTAATAAGGGTTTATTTGGTGCATTATGTGCAACACTTGTATTAGATGGACTTGTCGGTTGTGATAAACTTTGATTTGTATCGTGAAATGTGTAGATAGTCAAATGCGGGCGCTGATGACCTCGTTCGTATGCTGAAAAATAATATATCTTGTTTAAATCGTATTATCGTTAATGGTTGAAAATCGTAGTTATACTATTAGTTTTAAACGCATTAATCTAACCTTATATAAGCGCTATTCAGTTTTTTGTTCACATTTTATAATATCCAAACCATAAAACATAAAATAGCATTTACAAGAGCTTACAAATTATGGCATAATAAAGTGCTCCAAAACAGTCGTTGAAAACCATGTTAGATTTTTCCAAGATAATCAATAAATATATTCAAAAATTTTGTACATTTTTACATAAACAACTTTATACGATGTACTGTTTAAAATTATTTTTATGCCGTGGCCTTATTTTATAAAGATTTTAATGATAAGTGTAAATTTTGTTGAAGGAGTAAAGCAACGAAATGAACGGTCAGTGAGACACAAATACTGATTCACCATTAGCAATCGATGTGGTCATTCGAAACGAGTTAATTCGATTGGTCGAGATAATCTTGTCGCGAATATATCGATATCTTTGGTTCTAAACTGTGGTAGTTAACTATCAACCGAACAGTGATGCAGAATCCAAAATCATTTGATTTTGATGGTATGTAATAATAGACACATTGATTTATTAAAAATGTCTGAATCTCAAGAGCATTTTACATCGTCGCCCGTAAATAATAATAATTATGATAAAAAAATTAAACATCTAAGTAAGTTTATATTTTATTATTTATAGTTGCAATTAAGGCACTAATTACCTCTTAATTATGTTCCTTGACGTTTCACTCAGACTGAGTATTAGACAATCAATACACTTTTAAAAACTGATGTGATCTGTAATTACCATAGTTAAATAATAAATGACAATGGACACGTAGTGAGTTTATATACTCTGCGATTTTTTATTCAATGTCAAAAGTTCAAAATTGTGGTTTTCCCCATTTTCCGCGGAATCCATAAAAACCATCAAAATTTTTTAGATACATTTGTTTATTATAAAATTCTTCACAAAATTGATTGTATAATTATTTTTCGTTGTGATCACCGTACGAAAGTTAAAAAAAAATTCTTTATAATATGCCGCCTTTATAAGTCGTCGAACGCGAAATATAAATAAAAACTAGTGGCCTTAAAAATATAAATAAAAACATTGTGCCTTAAGGCAAATTGCTGGAACTTTCCGTACATTCGAGGAATGAAAATAATCAATAATTGTTTTGCAAATAGATTTTTAATTATAAATACATACTGTAAATTGGGGCGACGAGCGCATTTTATGAACAATTATGTCTATGTTTACAAGAAATTTGTTTATTTTTTTTTAAATTTGATTTTTTTGATAATTTTGAAAAATTTCTAGAAGTTTGGATTTGAGAATTTGTTTAGGTTTTTCGAAAATTTTGAATATATTCGAATTTTTTTGGAAATTTCGAAATATTTTCAGATTTTTGTAAGAAAACGATTTATTTAAATTTTTATAATTTTGAAATTTTCCAAAATCTAGTTTTTTTAAAAACAAAAAATTTCAAAAATTTGAATTTTTTAAAACTTTTAAAATTATGAAATTTTCTGTAAAAGCATTTTTGGCACACCGTCTACTCAAGCAAACTGTTTTTTGAATTAATTGAATCGGGTGATCCGTTGTCCCAAAAATTGCATAACCGTTTTTACAACCTTTGCGCTCCATACCTCCGAAACGGCGAAATTGCATTTTGCATAAACGCCTCGTGATCGTGTACGTACCGAATGATTTTTCAATCATACAAATCGGTTATTTTATACTATCGAAAATATCGACGACATTTGTTTAAACCATATAAATAAGCTTCAAAATTAAAAATTTTGATATGGAACCAAAAAAAAAAAAATTATATAAAAAGTGTACACATTATTAAAATCTCTATAAAATATCTGATAATTTGATGTACATATGTCCAATAAACATTTTTGACGGCCAAATGTCATTTTTTTAAACTTATTTTTATTGCGAGTCCATAAGCGATAGACCTGCCTTCCCAAAAAATTAATCCGTTCTTCATCTTGTTAACACAAGTAAAATGTTTTTGGAATTATTAAAATTGGACGCTCGGTTCTCTTAAAAACTAAGTTACCGTTTTTCGCAGTGTTTGCCCCGTATCCTTGGAACGGCTAGACCTGCCTTTACCAAAAACTAATCAGCAAGTCCCCTTATCAACACTAATCGAATGTTTTTTGGATTATTCAGATCAATGTTCCCGAAATCGTCGACGAAAATTTGTATCCGCACACACACATACTCATACACACATACATCCATTTTTTCTAAGGTATGCCAAAATATTCAGAAACCTTTCAAACGTGAAGATATATAAAAATTTTCATTTTCGATTTTTTTACGATTACTATACCTTACCCTACCGAAAGTTAATAAGATACACGGGTTTATGTTTAGATAGTACGAATTCAATTAGTCTTTTGAAGTATCGAACTATAGTGTTATCTACCAATTTCCTTCCTTCTTGAGCAACACATGCCAGCTATATAATTTTCCTAGCGTGGAGGGTCACATACCTAATTATTTTTGAAGGGAGTAAACGAAATAATTAAGTACCTCAACACAAAAATGACGTCAATGTCAAAAAAGCTGATGAATGTAATTGTGCTTCTTTTAACAGTAAGTCACAACAATTTCGTTCATTCTGGACGTCCAGTTATCAATTGACAGCCGCGTGAGTAAGAGTTCATGTAAATGATGTGAAAATAATGAAAATTAAGTACTGAGCTGTTATTAAACATTTCTTTTTGGAACACAATACCCCTACGCCAATTAAAAATAAATTGGACTCTGGGGATAGGGACTCTGCACCATCATTTATCACAGTGAAATTTTAGGAGCTGAATTTATAAGAGGCCGTAAGAGCTTGAGAGACAAAAGTTAATGGAGACGACTAAAAACTTCGACTTCAGACGATAACATTGATAAGGTTTACGAAATGATGTTATACGACCGCCAAATCAGAGTAAGACGGCTAAAAGAGGTAAAGAATATGTCAAAATATTGTTTGTCATATTTTACTAATTATACATGAGAAAGCTATCTGCCCGATGCGTGCTGCCTTTGCTTCAAATCAACATTTCCAACATACTTTAGGCGTTTCTAGGCAAAATTTAGCTCCAATTAGTTGCTGTAGGTAAAACTGGGGGATACATTATTATATGCCGAAAATTACTATCGAAACAGTGGACTGCATAAGGAAAAACTGGTCCAAAAGGAACAAAAACTGTTTTTTTTTTGGCAGGAAAATTGATGGCAACTGCTTTTTGAAATAATCGTGGAGCTAAGCTATTTTAATCGACTGTCTTCAAAAAATTATTTTTGAAGACAATTATTACTGAACAAGATAAAAACACAAATTGCGCAAAAGGGGCCACATTTGCAAGAAAAAGAAATCCTGTTCCATCAAGACAAAGCGCCATCGTCTTCCAAGTACTATTTGGATGGGTTCCAATATGCCAAGTACTATTTGGTTGGATTACAGAGGTGGGAACATCGCTGGAAAATAATCTTGTTAACTTCCCGTAGGGTAAGTTATTGTAATGGGCCGAAAAGCGAAATTGAAAATTTTTACATTACTCGACGTTTTGAAGGTTTCTGAACATTTTGGCATACCTCAGAAAAAATGGATGTGTGTGTGTGTGTATGTATGTATGGATATAAATTTCCAGTCACGTTTTCGGGCGCACGGATCAACCGATTTGAATGGTTCAAAAAACATTCGATTCCTATCGACAGGGAAAAGAGCTGATTAGTTTCTGGCAAAGGCAGGTCCAGCCGTTTCGCGGATACGGAGCAAAAAGTGCAGAAAATATAAATCAAGTTTCTGAGTGAACGGAGCATCCGATTTGAATGATCTAACAAACATTCAATTTGTAATGATTGGGAGAAGGGCCGATTAGTTTTTGGCAATGGCAGGCCCAGCCATTTCAAAGATACAGAGCTAAATGTGCAAAAAATCGCAGTTTTTGAGAGAACTAAGCGTCCAATTTAAATGATTCAAAGAAATTTCAGCTTGTTTTAACAAAATAATTGATTTCGGAAAAAAATTGTATCATTTTTTTTTTGTATCGAAAATGATTAAGATTTTATTTTTAATTCTGACTAAAGTTCTAATATACTTTAAACAAATAATTTTAACTACGCTATTCAGTTTATATAATTCTTATAAATATTAGACAATGTTACAATATTTATAAAAATCTATTTGAAAACATTATGTATTCCTCGAACATTTCGTTACAGTACGGGAAGTTCCAGCAATTTGCCTTAAGGCACGATGCCATACACCCCACTAGTTTCATTGTTAGGTCGGAAACTTTCCAACCCACCCTCGTATATATGTGCAAAGCGTGTTATGACCGTCGAAAATTTGTACATTTATATCTTAATCTTATATATAGAAATGGAGCTCTCGATCAAATGATTTGGTAAAAGTCGAAAACGGCTAAACCGATTTGGCCAGTCTTAGTCTTGAAAAATTCGTGCCAATCCAGAGATGGTCGGAAAGGTAAGATAATATTTCAAAATTGCGTAGAAACTTTACATTCTTAATTTAAAAATTTTTGGTAAACAGCACTTGATTTAAAATAGCTTCCCACACAATATTATTTATGATGACAGATGAATCGCCTACTCATATGTCAACTGGTTTTGACAAGTTAAAACAGATTATGTTCAGTGTTAGATAGTGTTGTTATTCTTTTAATTTTATTTAAATATATTATTGAAAATATATATTTTTAAATGTTAATAAAAGTGTGGGAGATTGGCAGGCCGCGTCAAATTTAGTAAGCGGCGGAAAAAAAATAAAATGAGCGTTGAGTTTTGTTTGACGGGATGTTTTTGCAATGAGAAAATTTGTACAAATAAATTTATAAAATTTATCACTGCATGAAAGGTTAAATATATTATTAAACGGCAATTTTATTAATTCCCGACAGTGGTGACCCCTGACGTTTGACATTATGCCGCGTCAACATGGACATATTGCCAC